ATTACATGATAGGGGTCCGCATTAAAAAATGCCGCCTTGACACTTGTCACTAATCGTATAGTATATGCCACTTGTCATCCAATTTATGGTCCGTTGGTGAAATAATTCACATATTTGAGGTGGAAATATGAAATATGAGATGACATTTGTTGTAGAAGGTGCGTATGAATGGATTCATTACATGATAGGGGTCCACATTAAAAAATGCAGCCTTGTTTTCCACCTTTATTGTCATCTTCAAGGCTTACAAAGGTGAAGAGTGGTCCAACATAAATAATTAGAAATAAATAAATAAATAAAAGGTATATTATATTATACAATTAATTATATTAAAACCTTCTCAATTATTAATAAATATCATGTTATCATTTCTCATACATGAATCTGTATAGTTTGACTCTCTTAACTATAAAAATCATAAATGATAAAAGTAATGCATTTTTTTAATTATTGTTATTAAAATGTGCTATTTTTTAGAAGAAATAAATAAGAAGTTTTTAGAATCTCAAATCTAGTTAATTCTATATGTATGAGATGCCTTTCTATAAAAGATGTTGTTGGCTTACTCAGATTTAGTTTCGTGAATTAAGCATGCTAACTTGTTTAAGGCCAATCATTGTCAATTGCTTGTTTGAAACAAATAGAAGCAAAACTGAAAAATAATAATTAATTTACAATATGACTCACTTCTTTCATCCCTTAACTAGTTATTTATTTGACCAGCCGATCGATCACTACAAGGTTCAAAAAGTTTAAAAAAAAAAAAAATTTTCGTTTAACCAGTCGACCGGCCGGTTGACCAACCGGTTGCCTCTGGTACAAATTTGATGAAAGTACATCGTTAGAGCGAGTGGTATCAAATTGGTAAAATGAATCATTTTTTACTCAAATTTGATGAAAAATCTGAGTAACCGTTAGAGGTGCTGAAACACATCAATTTTGACAAATTAGCGTTGAGGCCTCTGATGTGGCAGAGGAGCTCATGGATAAGAATAACCCACGTGTCAAGCATCACCAGCAGACAGATTGAATCCAGCTAACATGATTCATTGATTATCTATTTCAGCACTGTTTTTATCCAATAATATGATTTGAAACAGACTTTTTGGTTAAGATAGTTAAAAATAATAAAATAAGTTTTTTACCTTAATAAAATAAAGTATCACATTTAATCTATAATTATTATATTTTTTCTTATAAAAGTTAAAAAAATTAAAAAATCTATTTCAAACGAGATTTTTTAACACCGGATTAAAATAATCAAAAAATTAAAAAATTAAAAAACCAATCTACACCCTTAGACTTTGGTTTTATTTTTTATTTTTTTTATCAGAAGAAAATTTCATGGAGGAATAGTCATCTGGCACCTACAAAGTCCAACGACCAAAAAATATACATCAAATAAAGTAAAAATATTATAATAAGTGTAAAGGCAAAAATTATGAAAATATTCAGACATAAAACAGTGCTCCAGTTCATTCTGTGATGCAGAGCCCATCAAAAGAATTTAGCGTTAGAGTATGTCTGAGATAAATCATAGATAACAATCACATAGTGTGTAGGTCAATGTTTTGAAAATCAGACCGGTGAGCGAACAAAAAAAAAGACTGGGTGGACAGGTCACCAGTTCAATCGTCGGGTCAAAGCGGTCGAACCGTAACATCATAATTAATATTATATAGTTAAAAAATATAATTATAAATTATAAATAAAAAAAAATATATATAAATACTCAAATAAAAATAAAAAATATTACACAGTATTTATTAATAATATTTAATAAAGTCATAATGATAAGAAAAAGTCACTTGTTTTAAAGAAATTAAATTTTTTTAACATTCTCTTTAAACAAATTGATTGAATGTTAGATTTAGTTTTGGAGGAAAATTAAATTTTCAACTCTCCCTCCAATCAATATGATTCAAATAATTTAATTGAATCCCACATAGAATTTTATAGGTTCTCTTTGAAAAATCTTTTCCTATAAATAGTAATAGACCTTCATAATCTCCTCAAGCTTCAATGAGACTCCTCCTCATGAGAGGAGACTCTTGAAGTAAGAGTTTTTAGTCAAAATTTTAAAATATATATATATATATATAAGAAAGAAAGAAAGCAAAGAAGAAAAATAAAAAAAAATTAAAGATTTTCCAACCGTTGGGTCGTTTCAAAATCGGTACCGGGTCACTGGTTTTCCCGGTTGAACCGGCGGTTCTTCTAGTTTTCGTAATCTAAACCGGTTTTCGACCTAGTTCGGGTTTTGGGATTCTTCCGGATCGGAACTAGGCCCAGGTCTCGGTTCCACCAGTCTAACCGGTCGATCCGATCCAGTTCGGGTTTTAAATCATCGATGTAGGTTACAGCCAAGCACCAATGGACTCCAAGAAGCAACCAAAAATCAAAAAACAAAGCAAAACAAGAAAAAAAGCTTAACCTAGATCCGTGGAGGCGGGCTAGCTTCAAGCAGATCTGGTGGCACAATATTAAAGGCGGCTTCAACATGAGTTGGTAGATGGGGAATAAGGTAGATCTGGCGTCGGCAGGAGGGAGAGAGGGGAGCCCAATAAAAACTTTCACTAAGAGGGAAAGAAAACCTCCCATAAAGAGAGAGAGAGAGAGAGAGAGGTGGAAGGACAAAGCTCCATAGCTTATTTGTAGCAAGCAAAAGATAAACTAGGGAGAGGAAGAAAGGGGGAGAGGTGGTTGGGAGGCCGATAGCCCTCTTTCCCTCCCAAACGGCGTTCCAAACAAAAACGCCTAGCATAGAGCATGTAGATAGAGAGGTTCTCGGTAGAAAAAGAGAGCACAAGTAATTTTTTTGATTTAGGTTTTGTTTGGTTATGCTTTTTTTTGTTGATAAAGTTAAAAACAAAAAATTTAACGAGATATTCATTTTTTTTTAGAATGGCTAAAATAAATAAAAAAATATTCACATTATATGAATAATTTTTTTTTTTTTGTGTGATTCTAGTCTAAAAGAATTTGAACAGTTAACTTTTTACTAAATGATGTGTCATTACTATATTAGTGTAATGAATCTTGCTTTCTATATATTGTACCAAATATGACAAGCAATATGTCACATTATATGATAAATAAATTTTTAATATAAATTTGATGATCCTAGTATTAGAATTTTCAAACAAAATTTTATTTAAAAATATAAATGTGTGATATGAGATTGTGGGTTTAAATTTAAAAAAAAAAAATTGATATCCTTTATGTTGTTTTATTTTTCTACTAACAATTAACAAGTTAATTCATACTGAAAATTAAATTTAGAAAATAAAAAAATATACTAAAGGGAGGAGGAATGAAAATTGTGGTTTCCAATTTGCACAATCTAGCATCCCGTGACTGACTTGTGTGCTTTGTGGACCCACTTAGTACAAATCATTAACCATAAAATAAAGCAAAGCAAAAAAAGTGTACAAAATGAAAACGTTTGGGTAGGAGAAAAAGACTATTTGACTAGCCATAAAATAAATAAAGGAAAAAAAGTGTACAAAATGAAAACGTTTGGAGAGGAGAAAAATACTATTTGACCATGTGCTTTGCATTGATGAGGGTACGTACAAATAACGTTAAAAAGTAAAACTCAATTTGAACTCAATTTGATCTACTAACCCTGGAGAAAAATTATTCAATACGCCTCAAATATTGTTTTTTATTTATAAATTGACATTTAATCAGTTATTTTTTATAACTTAAACAAAAAAACAGTGAGTCTTATCATTTATTATTTTGAAATACTACCTAAATTTGTAGTGTACTTATTTGCCAACGTGTGCTTCTTGAAATAGGCCTTAATATATATATATATATATATATAAAATAATAATAACTTATTAGTCTAGATTTTTTTAGATAAATGATTGTATGATGGTGATTCTTAGAGATTATTTGGAATGTGTTATTTAAGTATACGATAATGCTACGTAATTCAAATTTTGTGGCTCAAAAGTGGCTCAAATGGCCAAAACGACGTCGTTTTGAGTACAGAACAACATAAAAATGGCCAAAATGACGTCGTTTTGGCCATTTGAGCCACTTTTGAGCCACAAAATTTGAGTTACGAGACATTTTCCATAAGTATATTTTTTGACTAAAAAAAAAATATGTATATTTAGAATAATTTTTTGAGTTTTTACGAAAAGATGTGTGATAAAATATTATAATAAAATTAAAATGACCATTCTACCCTTATTGACTTTTTGACTTTTGAATAGTTGAATTTAAAGAGCAAAATAATAATTTTTCCCTCTAGGCTTTCCCAAATAGTATAAATTTTTTGACTTTTTTAATAACTTTTTGATTTTTTAATTTTTGTAGATTATCCCAAACATGGTGGTATTACATGCACTAATTAATATACACACTAGTGTACCAATTACTGCTATGCTATTATTACTGACTCTACCTATTATACAAATTAAAAATACTAAGGACTTGTTTGGTTTGATTTTGGGAGATAAGTTTTCAAAAAATATTTTAGGAAGACAGTTTAGAAATTTTTATAATTTGTTTGGTTATATATTTTGAAAATAGTTTTGAAATTTAGGAATTTGAGATGATTTGATATTTTGTGGTAATTGAGTAGATGTATGTGAGAGAAAAAATGATTAAAAAAAAGAAATGATAGAGAGAAAAAGTAATTGATTGATGTGTAGGAGAGAGAAAGTGATTTTGAAATTTTTTTGAGAAAAATTACAAACCAAACAAAATTTTTAAAAATTTTCTCCAAAATCTTTTTTCTTAAAACCAAACCAAACCAAACAAGGTCTTAAAATTTCTAAAATTATGTCACATCATCTATTAGTATATTAATTAATACATATAATATTATTCAAATTATAAAATAATAATTTTCAATAATTTTTAAGTAATTAAATTAATATAATAAAACAATAATAGACAAATATACAGTCAGACATTAAATATACAGTCAGACATTAAAAGCTTTTTCCATAAATCTCGAAACTCTCATTTAAAAACTTGAGTTACCACCACTCACAGCTAGCCTCCTCCAGGTGGAAATGCCCCTTTTTTGATTTAATCTCATCTAGTATTTCTGTTAATTCTCAAACAAAAAACTTCTTCACCGCCCTCTCTCTTATTCTCTCTCTCTACAAAATGAACGGCGATCAAATAGTTCAACCAGTCCCAGACGATCCCAAAGCTCCTCTTCTTCCACTCCAATCCCTCCCAATTCACAGATCACAGAGCTTCAATTCCTCAATCAAATCAATCTTCACACTCAAAAACCTCTTCACTCTCCTCGGTCCCCTCTTGTGCTTCACTATCGTCCTCTTTATCAAGTTCGATGATGCTCCTCCTTCGAGCCAAAACATGCTCGGCGTGCTCGCTTGGGTCTTCACATGGTGGCTCTCCGAGGCTGTTCCGATGCCGATCACTTCCATGTCGCCGCTCTTTCTCTTCCCTCTCTTCGGAATCTCCACTGCTGACGATGTTGCGCACTCGTATATGGACGATGTGATTGCGCTTGTGCTTGGAAGTTTTATTCTCGCTCTTGCTGTTGAGCATTACAACATTCACAGGAGATTGGCTTTGAATGTAAGTTCTTCTGCTGCTTACTTTTCGTGTTTTGTGTTCTCATTTTTAATTTGAATCTTTTCTAATAATGATTCATTCTGATTCATCGTTCTTTTCATTCAATTGCAAAAGGATTTACATAACCAAAGGATTTTTTTTATTTTTTTATTTTTGGTTGCGTGACCAATTTTGAGTTTGTTTGAATTTTGTGAACTTGCTTTTTGAATTTGATAAAAATAAATAAAAATTTTATATATGTTTTTTAATTTTCAAAATTTATTTTTATTAAAAAAAGAAAAAGAAAAATTACAATTCAGTGCAATTTAAAAATATATATATTACAAATTTATAGAAAACTTATATGACTTCAATTATTAATATTAGTAAAATTTATCACTTATCTATAGTTATTTTTTTTTTTTTTAAAATACATTGATTTGTAATTTCCTCAAAATAAAACGGTTAAAACCGGTATAAAAATAATGAAAATTTTATTAATGAATTTGGAAAAATTTATAAAAATCTACTTTCTAACTTAATTTTCTAGAGTTAGTGATAGGTAAAAGATATAATTAGTTAATTATTACAAAATATATGAGATAATTATTTTAAATATTATAATAAACTTTTACATTACTAAATTTAAAAAGTAAATTATTTTGAGTTAAAGTAACCCTACTCATGAATTTTTGGTTTACCTGTTATTGATTGATTAATACACAAGTCTTACGGCTGCACAACTCCCAATTCAAATTTTTCCCTACAAATCAATTTTTACAATTTTTTATTACACATTTTCCAATAAAAAGTCAAAAAGTTAACCCAAACATCCATATTTTCAACTTCAATTTTTTAGTCCAAAAAAGACAAAAAATACACTTATTTAACCTTCCCAAACTTGACCTAAATTTAAAAAGTAAATTATTTTGAGTTAAAGTAACCCTACTCATGAATTTTTGGTTTACCTGTAAATTTAAAAAGTAAATTATTTTGAGTTAAAGTAACCCTACTCATGAATTTTTGGTTTACCTGTTATTGATTGATTAATACACAAGTCGGTAGCTTTAATGTTAGGAATTTAAGTTCTCTTAAAGTTATATTGCCTACAACTACAAGACAAAAAAAATAAAAAATTCTTGTAAAATACCCTTTCAAACAAGGATTTTTAGTGGATTTCATATTATCCGTAATCTTTATTTTATAATAGGACAAGTTATACAAATAGTTCCTATAACTTGGGACTTGTGTCACTTTGGTCCCTGACTTTTCAATTGTGACATATTTGATCCTGAATTTTGAATTTTGTTCTAAATAAGGACAATTGAATATATAATTAGATTTTTCAAGGATAAAATTATCAATTTGATAAAATATAAACTAATTTGACAAAAAAAAATGTTAAACAAATATTTTTGAATTTTTAAAAATTATTTCTGTTTACTAAAAATAAAATTATGTAAGATTGATAAATCTTTTAGACATTTATTTATTTTTTTACCAAATTAATTTTTTTTATGTGTTTGGATGATGATCACGTAAAATTAATTTAAAAAAATTAATCATGTAATTTTTATTAATTTTACATAATTTTATCATTGGTGAATAAAAATAATTTTTAAAAAATTAAAAATATTTTTTTGACATTTATTTTTGTCAAATTAGTTTATATTTTATCAAATTGACTATTTTACTCTTGAAAATCTAATAATATTTTCAATTGTCCTTATTTAGAATAAGATTCAAAATTCAGGGTCAAATGTGTCACAATTAAAAAGTCAAAGACCAAAGTAAAATTATAGGAACTATTAGTGTAATTAACCGTTTATAATACATGGATTTCATATGTATAGTGCTTTAGTGGATTTCACATAATTTTGTAATATGTATATCTCAACACAATTTTAAAAATTCGTGTATTTAAAAAAAAAAAAATATTAAATATTGTATCCCCCATTATCATAAGTTAGGATTATTTGTCATGATTTTTTCAGTTGGGATGGTTAAAATGATCTACATAAATATATTTTTTGACTTTTTATTATATTTATTAAAGTTCTAATTAAACTACATCATTTTGAATGTATAATTTTAAAAGCATTTATTGCTATTTTTCTTTCTAGCTGTAGGTGGTTGAATTCAATAATTTTAGATATAATGAAACAAATATCATGAAAAGTAAGAGTGATAAACGAACCAAATAATTTGAGCTCGACTCGTATTTGGCTTGTTTAAAACTCGTTCACGTTCAGTTTATTAAATAAAAAAGGCAAACTTGAATACAATTTAGAGCTTATTAAGGTTTTCAAATCAAACTTGAACAGTAAATTGTTCGTTCCGCTCGGTGCCATAAACTTAAAATTATATAAAATATCAAATTACTCGAGTTCGACTTAATAAAAATTCATTTGAAATTGACTAAAAAGCTTAACGAATCAAGCTTGAACAAATTACAAATTTTGAAACTCGTTAAAGTTGTCAAACCAAGTTTAAAGAGTTTGTTATTCGGCCGTTCATTTATTACCCTAAATGAAAAAAAGCCTTCACGAAAGTTCTCCACACTTAGATTAGTAATAGTGTTTTATTATATGTCATGCAATCACTCTTCAATTAGTTTTATAAAATTTTTCATAATATTTATTTTAGGTTGGAACTTGCCTCCAGTCCACAATCTGGACTAGAGAGTCTAGTTCGGCCCATTGGACCCACTTTTAGGTCCCTTTTTGATAATCCGAACCATTTACATTTTAAGATTTGTTGAGTACATTATCTCTGTAAAAAATCACGTCGATCGGATAACGGATACTATGTATTCGGATCACTTTTTTTATGAACCGTTAATTTTTTGACTTTCCATTTTTTTAGACAAAAGTGATCTGAATACATAGTATCCGTTATTCGATCAACATGATTTTTTTACAAGAATAATGTACTCAATAAATCTTAAAATATGAACGATTTTGATTATTGAAAAAGGATCCAAAAGTGGGCCCAATAAACCAAACTAGACTGGACTGTCAAGACCCTTATTTTATAATACGTAACATTAATCGGTTGATTTATGGTGTGAAAGTTTAGACATACACCTTAAAACCAACCTCTAAGCATTATTTATTCATTTATAATATTCTATCTTCATATTATCTATAATTTATCTTCTGATTGATATTGATTTGGTTATAATATTTTGTTTAGGAAACCATTCTTGACTCTTCTAAGATGAACCACATTTATCCCCAAAAAAAATAAAAATAAAAAAACAGATAAAGTTGCTTACCAGTTATCATTTTCAAATTCTACTAAGAATATGACTTTTTAAATTGGTAATATGCTAACTTGATGTAATCATGATAAAGAAGTATACCAATAATAGTTCGTTATTCTACTATAGAGAAGTATATTATACCAATAATAGTTCATTATACCAATAATAGTTCATTATTCTACTATAGAATTCAATAGTTCAACTTTGTCTCTAGTTTGAAGTGGACACGACTTTTTTTTTGGGGGAATTATGAATTTTATTTTGATAATTTAAATTATATATTTTTTAAATAAAAAATTGAATCGATTCAATAATCGTAATTAAATTAATTTATGGAAAATTTACCCATAAGTCCTAGTTTTTGAAACGTTGAACCATTTAGTCCTAAAAATTTTTTTATGCTCCATTTAGTCCCATTTTTACATCAACATGATGTGAATGATGTAAATGATCTTTTTTAAATAATATTGAGCCATTCATTTTTTTATAAATAAATATTATAAACTAACCGGACTGATGACTTGAAAATTTTTGAAGCTTTGTTTTAAATATTAAATTGAGATCTTATTCTATCGTGTTTATTAAAATTTAGGATCTTTGGTAATAAAAATCTTTTGAAAGTTTTTTGAATGGCCTTAAGCGATGATGTAGCTTAATAATTAAGTCACGTTAATAGTTACAATTATCAATTAATGTTATTTTTTTCATAAATAATATATACAATATAATTTAAAAAATAATAATTTAAATTATCAGAATGAGACATGTACATAAGTGTGCGTTTGATAGGACTAAACAGTGCATAAGTTATTAATTTGGGATTTATTGGTGCATCCCCCTTAATTTATTACATTTGTTTTTAAAAACATATATTGTTTAATTTTTAAATAATATTGAGCCATTCATTTTTTATAAATAAATATTATAAACTAACCGGACTGATGACTTGAAAATTTTTGAAGCTTTGTTTTAAATATTAAATTGAGATCTTATTCTATCGTGTTTATTAAAATTTAGGATCTTTGGTAATAAAAATCTTTTGAAAGTTTTTTGAATGGCCTTAAGCGATGATGTAGCTTAATAATTAAGTCACGTTAATAGTTACAATTATCAATTAATGTTATTTTTTTCATAAATAATATATACAATATAATTTAAAAAATAATAATTTAAATTATCAGAAAGAGGCATGTACATAAGTGTGCGTTTGATAGAAAGTGAGACCTCATGTGAAAGAATTGTGAGAGTGATATAGATTTTTGTATTGAGCAATGCTAGGTATCATGAAAAAACTTTCATGAAAATGATCATGAAATGATGTAGCTTAATAATTAAGTCACGTTAATAGTTACAATTATCAATTAATGTTATTTTTTTCATAAATAATATATACAATATAATTTAAAAAATAATAATTTAAATTATCAGAATGAGACATGTACATAAGTGTGCGTTTGATAGAAAGTGAGACCTCATGTGAAAGAATTATGAGAGTGATATAGATTTTTGTATTTCTAGACTCTTCTATAATCATTTGTTTTGATGTGAATTGGATTGGATTTTCAATCATGAACATACGCGTGTGACCAATCAGGTGACCCTCATGTTCTGTGGAGATCCACTGAATCCCCCACTCCTCCTCCTCGGAATATGCGGCACCACAGCATTCATTAGCATGTGGATGCACAACACTCCGGCGGCCGTCATGATGATGCCGGTAGCCACCGGAATCCTCCACCGATTCCCGACGGAGCCCACACAAGACGACGTCGTCATCAAGAACTATAGCAGGGCAGTGATCTTGGGGGTTATATACTCTGTAGCTATAGGAGGGATGAGTACTCTTACTGGGACAGGTGTCAATCTCATATTGGTTGGCATGTGGAAGAGTTATTTCCCTGAAGAAAGTTCCATCAGCTTCAATACATGGTTCTTCTTTGGGTTCCCATTGACTCTATTACTTCTCATTGCTTTGTGGGCCATACTTTGCTTGTTGTATTGCTCAAGGGGTTCGGGTCGGGCCTTATCTGCTTATTTGGATAAAGCCCATTTAAGGAGAGAGCTTGAAATCCTAGGTATGTCCCCCTTAATAAAAATTCAAAAAGTTTTAAGTTTCTAAATTCTTTTTGACTAGATAAATCGAAAAATTAAATTTGTTAAAAAAAAATTACAAAGTAAGCTTAGAAAAGATAAAAATAATAGATTTTTTGGGCTTAGTTTGGATTTTTTAATTTTTTTTACTTTTTAAATCTGTCTAAACAATGGTTGGAAAAGTAAAAAAATTTGACATAATTTTGAAAAAATCACTAAAAATAAAAAGAAAAGTAAAAAAATTTGACATAATTTTGAAAAAATCACTAAAAATAAAAAAAAATATAAAAATAAATGTCACTTAGCCTGCACTGTTACAATCACCGAAAATATTCAGTCTCTTATATTTATTGGTATTTATATTTGTGAATAATATGTGTATTTATAAATATGAATAAATGTAAGAATTTGTGAATTTGTGTTTCAGTAATCGAAAATTTTCATGTGTTTATCTTTTTTTTTTCTTTTTTTTTTCCCTTCTAATCATACCTAAATTTTTAAAACAATGGTGGATTAATGGACACCCAAGGATGTTAATCCATCGATTTCATTGCATATGGGTGTAAGTATCATTAAAACTTAAAATTAACAATTTATAATTTTTTATTAAGACAAGATTGACCAACTACTCTTCAAAATCTCCCTTGATTTCTTTGAATTTAAGATCAATATTTGTTGATGGGATTAGAACAATGAATCCAATTTTTTTAAAAATAAGATAAGATTGACCAACTACTCTTCAAAATCTCTCTTGATTTTTTTGAATTTAAGATCAATATTTGTTGATGGGATTAAGAACAATGAATCCAATTTTTTTCATGTTGAGATCTCAACATGAGAGAACTTGAGAGATCTATAGACTCATCATGAGTCTCGTTTTGATAATTCGAACTATTCATTTTGTAGGGCCTTCAATGTATAATATCCATGAAAATAATTAGTTTGATCCAATGATCGTAACTTTTTCATTTTATTGCATTTATGTCCGAAAAAATATATGACAAATATATTTTTAAAATAGACCATCCATTTTTTTAGGAACAAATGCTATAAAATGAATATGTTATGATTATCGGATTGATAATTTTTTTCATGGCTATTATAAATTGAGAGCCTTACAAAATGAACTGTTAGGATAATCGAAACGAAACTAGTGGTGGGCCCTATAAGTTCCTGAAGTTCTCTACTATTGAGATCATATGATCTCAACATGAGAGAAACCCAACCCTTTTACAAATAAGATAAGATTGACCATCTACTCTTCAAAATCTTCCTTAATTTTTTCAAATTTAAAATCACTATTTGTTGATGGGATTAAGACCTTTTTTTTTGCATTGGAGAGAATCCAAATCCAACATGAATCCATGTGACCTACTACTTATATTATTTATGACTTTTTAGTTTGGTTCAGGCTACAAAATGCCTAGGAAAGATCTATTAATTGAGAAGAAAATTCAAATTTGATCAAAACAACAGACAAAAATTTAGGAAGTCCAATAAAATAAACTGATTTTTTTTTTTGTCCAAACTAAGAAAGCCTGAATCAAATAAAAGTTTAGAATAAATCTATGAACACATAAGTTGGCCACAAAACTGGACATAGAATGTATATTACATAATATTTTTTAAAAGCTGACTCCGTCAACAAATTATGTAAAATATTATCTATTTATATGCATTTTGTGTATGATTTTTTGATCAATTTATGTGTTCATAGAAGAACGGATAGTTTTATAATGAAAATGGGGTGTGATTTGATTTTCTTCACCCTTTAATGCAATGGCAATTCAAAATTAAGGTAAATAAATTGTAATTAACTTCCATGTGATGTGGTGGGCAGGTCCAATGGCTTTTGCTGAAAAGATGATATTGACTGTGTTTTCGGTGAGTTATGCAATTTACTTTTTAATTATACGTTAATTAAGCTATGATAATAAATAAAGTTAATGACTTTGATATATCCAGATTAGATTAGAATAGAGATTACTAACATGAGAGAGGTTGGTTTGGTTGCTGTGCAGCTGCAAATAGTATTGTGGATGACAAGGAGCATAACTGATGACATTCCTGGATGGGGAGCTCTCTTCCAAGGGAGGACTGGTGAGGGAACTGTTAGTGTGAGTACTCCACATCTACACTTCTCTCTCTCTCTCTCTCTCTGTCTCTATATATATATATATATATAGATGTATAAATATAAAAGTGATTCAGTACACGAGACAAAGTAGAGTTGAGGGCAATATATCGGCAACCTTACCCTAAGGCTTTGAAAATGATTTTCAATTTTTCACTTTTAAAATTATATGTGCCTCTCTTTTTTTTTTTTTCTCCTTCTCATTCTTCTTCCAAATTGGCTAGAATAGAGACATAGATTGATTCCTTATTTTCTTCACAAGTCAATCTAACGATTCATTTCATTTTATTTTGTGCAGTTTATTGGCATTTTTCACTTTTATTTCCTTTTCTTCATTAATTGAGAGTTCTATAATTTGAATGTTACACTGATATTATTGTAGTGATATATATGATATTTGAATAGTTTTAAAATATTGATAATTGATTTTTTATATCAAACAAAACCAAATTAAAGGTTGGTTTGGCATAAACTAAATAATACAAAAAGTTAAAAAGTCACTATCTTATTTAAGTCATATTATCTTATTTAAATCACATCACCTCTCTAACACATCACATCAAACCCAATCCAAACCCAATTCATGTAAGTCAATAAGTCAAAAAGTACACTTTTTTAGAACATCCCAAACTAATCCTAAGTCTTGTGCCCAAATAAACTTTACTTGATAATTTGCTTTAGTATTTGTCCCTCACTATCAAAATCCTGGATCCGCCATTGCCTCCATTTATGGAGAGGCGATTTTTATCACTTGAACCTGTACCGTCATGCACCAAGCCGCCCTTTCACGAGTACAGTTCTTTTGTTGTATGTTCTGTCTCACATCCATCACATATTTATACATGATCAAAATCAACAGTTAGAACAGTGAGGAACAAAAACAGGCAATGGTAGAGAAAGTGAGACAGATGATCTCACCCCATTTCACATATGTACAAAAAAACATGATCAAATTAATTAATTGTTTGTTCAAAAAAAATAAAAAATTAATTAATTGTTACTTAAAAATGAATGGGTGAGACTTTGTTTGGGATGACCTAAATAAGTGTACGTACTTTTTGTCTTTTTACGAAAAGATGTGCAGAAAAGTAAAGAGGTGATGTGATAGAAAAAAGATAAAAAGATGGATTATTTTGTGTATGCCAAACTTGGCCTTAAATAAAGGTTTCAATCTATGTAGGTGATGATGGCAACCTTATTGTTCATAATTCCGAATAAGAAGCAACAGGGGGAGAAGCTAATGGATTGGAACAAATGCAAGAAGCTACCATGGAGCATCGTACTCCTACTAGGTGCTGGACTAGCCATAGCTGATGGAGTGCGCTCAAGCGGCCTTGCCGATGAGTTGTCAAAAACATTAGATTTCTTGGAAGATGCCCCATACTTAGCCATAGCCCCTCTTGTGTGCCTCATTAGTGGCACACTCACCGAGTTGATCACCTCCAACAACGCCACCACCACCATCCTACTACCACTGCTCATCCAAATTGCGCAGACAATGCACGTGCACCCCTTGCTTCTCATGGTCCCCGGAGCCATTGGAGCACAGCTGGCATTCATGCTCCCAACAGCTACGCCTTCAAACACTGTAGGGTTCACCACAGGACATATTGACATCAAAGACATGATCAAAACAGGGTTGGTGCTTAAGGTTGCTGGAGTTGTTGCAGTGACCTTTCTAATGCCTACTCTAGGTAAGTGATTTTTGGCCTACTGCACATTGGTTGTATACAACAATGCTACATAATCATAATTTTTAACCCAAAATTTTATCTAGAATTGAATCTAAATCACACCTGATCTTTTTTAGATAAAATTCTGGGCACTTAGCTTTACTGGGTGGTTAATAGAGTCTGAGGGATGAGCTTCTTATGCGAACTTGAGCACCACAATAGCTGGTCTGCCGGAGTGGTTGGCTGGAGGGCACCCTGATACTCAGGATGTGTTTGGATCTTGGATTTTATGAGTGATTTAAGGAGGGAAAGAAAGAAGAAAAAAAAAATAAGGAAGGAAGAAGTGGCAAAATAGAAGCTAAATTTTGTCGTTCTACCCTTTTTTATTTCCTTCCACAAATATGTTTTCAAATCTTAGATCCAAATACAGCCTTAAGTATATGTCTTGAAGACTAGAGTGCTAAATTACAATAATATGGAGTATGTGTTACCCATCTCACTTAAATATCAAAAAGCCCTATTCCGCTTGACTATATATCCTACAATTGGTGTGCGGTATTTTTTCTCCACATGACAATTTAAAACAAAATCAATTAATTAAGATCCAACCCATTGCCACGTCAGTGTAAATAAATTTAGGAATGATATTTTAAGAGTATCCAACACCCATCTTTGAATATATAGATTTTGTAGATAGATGTTGGATTCAAAATGAGTTGAATTGCAAACTCTTGTTTTTGCAGGAGCTATTGTGTTTAGAACAGATAGACAAGTGCTAGATTGGAAACTTCAATTGCGCAATTGCAAATGATTGGCTGAGCTTTGGGTGCATACCGTGAAGAACTATTGCCATTCTTTATTTGCTGCCAAATAATCATTTGAAGCAAAGGAAATAGATATAATATGCCTTTTTATTTGTTTATCTCTTCATTCTTGTTTCCTTTTCCTTGTGTATAATTTTTAAATATTATCTTTCCTTCTTTCTTATAGCAATTATATGTGTTATCTAATGCTTATGCCTCTAGTAAATATTTTCTTATTTGATAGTCTATATATATGAGGTATTTGTGCTTGAGTTTATTTCAAAAAAATCAAGTTACATTGAATGGTTGTGAGTCAGTGACTGATTTTTTTTGCAAGGAATTGTGATGAGTTGAGTTTATGAGGTAGCGTAGGATTTACATTGTATTGGTTGTATTGTAATTTGTTCATCGAATTGGAAAGTTTTGTCACAAAAATGCTAAAGGAGAGATTGTAATTTGGCTTGATTATTTTTTGTAATGGAATGTTGGTATAATTTCTTCTCAAGAAAAATCCTTCATAAAGATCAATTTTTTCGTTCAGAATTATTCTAGAGTTTAGAGAAATTTAGTTATGTAAATATTTGTGATCAGGAAAAATAATTTCTGAAGGTATTTATAAAGATTTAACTTTTAAAACTGTTATGGGAAATTTTTTGAAAAAACAGACTACCATGGATGGATTGCACTCACTAAATGTAGCTGTAATGAAGTGTTAGTATATTTTCATTAAAAACACTCCATCAAATTTACATCACTCTAGAGAGGTATTTATAATCATGAAAAACAATTTCCAAAATAGGCATTTATAATTTGGATTGGAGAGTGTTGTTCAGTTTCGTAAGGCTTATCATGGGTCTTGTTTCGATGATCCGAATTGTTCATTTTGTTAGGTACTTCGTGTATATCATTTATACAAAAAATTAAATCGATCCAATAATCATAACATATTTAATTTATCTTGTTTGTTGTCCCAAAAATGGATAACAATTTTATTTTTAAAATAGACCATTCATTTTTTTTCTTATAACAAAAATAATTAATTAAAAAGTTATGATTATGGGATTAGTCTAGTTTTTCACATGGATGATATGCCTGAAGTGTTCAAAAATATAAATGATTCGGATAATTAAAACATCACAGGTACGAACAGCAACCCGTCTAAATTATGTAAATATATGAAATTCACCCCTAATAATAAATAGTATTTCTCTTTTGGTTGGCCTTGGGACAAATTTTTTTTTAAGAGAAAGGTTGTTTTAACACCGGATTTATTTTACTATTTTATTTGAAATTTTATTTGTATTCATATAATAAAAATAATGTATTGAGACGACTATATTTAAAAATAATGAAACTTACTATTTGTGGGGACATATTTTTAGGGTTGTCCACGTGGCTAAGATGATTGGCGAAGGTGTCACGTGGACGAGTCATGTTGTCGAGATTGTTGTGATATTGTCAAGATATGGTACGATAATATCAGAATCCGAGATTGTTGAATAGAGGACAAAAGTCCTAGATAAGTTGAGGCGCTTAGTTTAGATAAAGATAAGACTCTTAAGTGGGATTATTCTTGTCTAATTGAGAGTTCGGAATAACTATTGTGCTTTGAGTCCTATATTTTTAGGGGACAAGGGCACTAGTGACTATAAAAGTAAGGCACTTATGTGGAATTAAGATATGTTTTTACTTATGCACTGTTACGTGAGCTGATAGCTTTGAGAGATAAGTTACTAACTTGATTGTCGAAGTGTCCTCGGATGGACGAGCTGCTGTGGTATTTCTCATTCTCTTGTGTGTAGGTATATGACTTAATTTCTTCTGTCACGTGCTCTCTAACTAAGTTCCCTAAATCTTGGTAGAGAAATTTGATTGATTGTGAAGTCGAAAATTAGCACCCACACTATGCCATTAAAAAAAAAAAAAAACCTTGAACAGTAGATGAAAATTTCGAACTTCCCATCTATAAATAAATTGTTGGTGAATATTATTGAAAATCACTAAAATAAAAATATATTAAAATTACAATGAATATAAAACTTTTGTAACAAACAAATCGAGATGTGGCCCAAAAATCTCACTTTTTTTTTTAAGGAGGTTCAAACTCTTTGGGGTTAGGGAAAGCCCACAAACTTTTGTAACAAACAAATCGAGATGTGGCCCAAAAATCTCACTTTTTTTTTAAGGAGGTTCAAACTCTTTGGGGTTAGGGAAAGCCCACAAACTAGTGGAGCAAAATTTAACATCTGACTTGTGTACTTTAGAATACGACAATCCAACTGTTCATCGTATGATTTACACCAATTCGGCACAAATCGTTGAGGCCCAACCTCCACCAAATAAAAACGCTTTTACTTCGGCCAAAATCTCGAGTGTCAAGTGTTGGAAGTAATATCGGGATGGATAAGGTAATGAGAAATGTTAGGAATCATGAAAAAAATTTCATGAAAATGATCATGAAAGATTTATGACTCTTAGATTACCTTGATTAATGTGTGGTGTTTTATTCTAAGTGTAATCTAAAGGTCATAAATTTTTCATGATCATTTTCATGAAAAACTTTTCATGATACCTAGCATTACTGTAAGGTAATATTCGATAGAGTTTTAGAACTATGAATTGAGAATTAAGGTTTTATTTTGAGTTTATGAGTTCTGAAATTATAATTTGAGTGTGAAAAATTTATTTGGTTATAAGTTTTGAAAAGAGTTTTAAATTGAGTTTGAATTGAATGATGTGCTATATGATATTTGATACAAAAATTTACAACTCATAACCAAACATACAATTCAAAATTCTATTCAAAGCTCATAATACACACAAATAATAGCGGAGTCAGAAAATTAAGTTAGAGGAAACACTTATTAATTATAATTTTTTATTTAAAAAAAATCATGATCAACATTAAAATAATAATAATTTTATGAGTTAAATTTAAGTATAAGAAATTAAAAATCATTATTAATAGGAACAAATTAAAATTCTATAATAGTATGTAATAGTTTGGTGCGGGATGGCGATATAAGTTTGTAATTTTAGCACACAAAATTATGGATCAAAATTCTTAATTTTAGAAAATAAAAACAAATCATTTATAGCAATACCATCTTTGGCTAAGGATTTATTGTATTGTTCAATACGTGACAGAATAAGGGCAATACGAGAAAACAATTCAAATCTTCAATCGTAGTCGCACATATGGTAATTAGTATTGGTTATTGTAGATCTGTGTAGCATTAGATCAGCAAAGAGATGCAAGATGACGTGGCTTTAACGATTACTTATATATTTAAATTCAAAATCAGGAGGGAAGCCTAACTGCAGATATGGCATAGTGGAACTAACTGTGAGGAAACATGATCAGCGATCATGGAGGAATGGTTCGACGGTTAGAAATTCATTTCGACGGTTGTCATTGAGAAGTATAAATAGCAGAGAAGGCCCTAGAAAAAACCCCAAGCTCAGATCCAAAAAATCTGTTTTATCTACTTTATTTTCCTTCCAGTTTTTACATTTCTTGTTCTTTACATTTCTGCACTTCAAATTCATGCACTGCACTTCGTTCATAGGAGTAGTTTCAAGTAGTTTGTTGCTATAAACCTCTACGACGCTAATTTGGATCATTGTAAGTCTTTCATTTTACTTAATGAAATGCTACAATTATTATTCATTTAATCGTTGTTTGCTTAATTCTCCTAAACAAAGCCACCAGTAAAAGTCATCTTCATTGAGGCTGAAAGAACTAAAACACAATCGTCTGATAATTGGTTGGCAATTAATATTCTGTAAGGTCTGATTGATCCTTGCTGGCACGCTCAAAATTACAATAATAACCTTCGAAAGCCAAAAAAGCCAACATATATTTTTGGCACGCCCAGTGGGACTAATTAAAATGGCTAGACGTAAGAGACAAAGAGAAAATGAACGCTTGGAAGAAGGCGTAGAAGGAAAGGTAGAAATACCTAATCTAGAGGATAATATGATAACACATCCTGTGGAAATACCCGTTTTATCAGAACCTATGGTCGAACAGACCAGCACTTCGGAGCAAGTACCACATGTTCAAAATATTGAACGAAGCCAAGGAATTGGATCATCCACTGTTCCATCTACTCAGTCAATGAACCCATGGGGAGGCCTAGTAGATGCCATGGGACAGCAGTTAATGAACACAATGTAAAGATGGGCAACATCCTTTTTGGATCGAATGAATACTCATCAACCAACTAACGCAAGGCACATAGAGGAAATTTCAAATGTCCCTCAGCAAAGATTGGCTAGAGATAAACAGCCTATGTAGAGTAATGGACATACTAATGATCAAACTAGTAACCAAAACTATGAAAGACCATCACCTCAGTCTTGGTATGAGCCTCTTTCGAGGCCTGTGACAAATCAAAATGCCTCATTACTTAATAATGAAACCATGCAAATTGGTGGATCCGGGCCAACACAACAAAATTACATAAGGATGCTTTCAAATCCCATGTTTGAAGCCATACGTGGCAAAGGGGGTTCACTAATCCTATGTTCGAATTTGTAACCGGGAGGTTGGAAGGGTTTCCTACGACTGGAAGAGGGACAACACCTCTTCCAGCACCTTTCGTAGGTCCTCTCGCAGGACAGGCTCAAAGGGGTCACCCATACCCTCAACAGCAGCAGCACCACAGGGACAACCAGTCCCAAATATACCGCCATATGGACCAAGAGGACCTCAGGCACAAGGTTGTGCACCAAATCCTGTGTTTGTTCCTCCAGTAGTGGTTCAATAAGCACAAAATATGGTTCCTAAGGACCAAATTGCTAACATTGTTAGAGAGATATGTGGACCGATGGCTCGGGGGGTTCAAACTCCTAGGTACAGGAAACCATATCCAGAATGGGTAGATATGGTACATGAATACCCAAGAGGGTTTAGGATACCAGCCTTTGCTCTTTTTTATGGGAATGGAAACCAGTCAACAGTGGAGCGTATTGCCAGGTTCGCTGCTCAATGTGGCGAATCTAGTAATAATGATTACATGAAGTTAAGACTGTTCCCAAATTCTTTAATTGGGGCAGCCTTTGTATGGTATATTAACTTTACACCTGGCTCTATCCAAACTTGGCAACAAATGGAGGAGGCATTTCATGCCCAATTCTTCCAGACGGAGCCAGAAGTTTCCAAAGGCCTGATGAGAAGGCTACTCAATTTATTTCCAGATTCAAAAGAGCACAAAACAAATGTAGGATCATTCTACCAAAGCCTGAATTCGTGAGATTGGCTCAAAATGGTTTAGAGTTTAGGCTTCAAAAGAAGTTTGACTCAATTGAGTTTAAAGACTTAGTGTAACTAACCTATAAGGTATCTAGGTACGAAGCATTACTAGAGGAAGAACAAGATCGAAGTAATGCATCATACAAGACGTATTATAGAGATCCTAATTATGAGATTGATGTAAC